AAAGGGACAATATCAAAATGGATTCACAATATGCGTGAAATACAAACAGCAGGCCACTTGAAATTAATAGTTCTAATGCTATAAAGCTTTATGTTTCCTTTCCAGTCCATGTATCTCCAAACAAACAAAACAAATAAATAAAAGATGGCAAGACCATTTTTCAAGCATTCACACTTTGTTTAAAGAACATTAATAAACTTACCGAAGTGGCATCGAATAGATGAACAAATCCATACATGACCATGCATGACCTCTGATACTCTGAGGACAATTTCCCTGCAAGACAGTTATAGAGCCCATAATGCTCTTCTCCATCATTTAATGAAAAACAGTGACACAATCAACAGAAACTGCATACAACATAATTTCACCATTGTCACGTTTAAAATTAAAAAAAAGCCTTATGAGATAATAAGATTACCATGTGTGTAAGAGCCGTTTAAGTTATTTGTTTATTTATATAGATGTGAAATAAGTAATTGTGTGGATTAAGTAATTATTAAATAATTGTACTTTAATGTTTCATATAAATATTGAAAATGATGCAGATGTAATTTCCGGCAAGAACCGAATTTGTGTCATGCAAGAATGGAGCGATACAGCTTTTTGACCGTGTAACATTTCCAGTTATTTTTTGTTATTAAACTTTGTTTAAAGGGGTCATATGATGCTGCTAAAAAGAACATTATTTTGTGTATTTGGTGTAATGAAATGTGTTTATGCGGTATACACCAATATTTATCAAATATGTCAAATATTGTTATGAAATGAAAGAAAATCAATGAAATAAATACTCAGATATTTTACAAACCTGCAAAGAATCCACCAATCTCATATGTCCACCACTCTGCACAAAGCATAAGCATGCTGGGAAGAGCCAAGCTAAATTCCTGCAGACAGTCACGAGACCAGCCTAATGGTGTGTGTTTGAGGCAGACAGAAATATCAGCATGACACATGGGGAAAAAAAACATTTAAATAACAGACTACTTTGCAACAAACTGAATTTGAACCATTTTAATCCAATTATTCATGTCAAAAAAATGTACATGGTTTATTAATGACACCCATGTGAATATGAGGAAACTAGTCTTGTAGAATGTTCATTAAAACTAGTAAATACAAACTGGTGTGCTGTCAAAAAAATTTTCAAGCTGCAGAACTAGGAAACAGATCTCTGCAGAAATGAAAAGGAGAAACTCACCACCCCAGGTGGCTTTATGCAGGCCCATACATTAGATGTACAAATAGAGAATCACTACCAAGGAACACTGGGAAATTGCATTTGCAGCAGCAGATCCTCTGTGAACACATCAGGTTATCATTCAGATATGAGGAGAATGAAGAAAACAAGAAAACATGGTCTCTAAATATAAGATATACAGAATCTTGACAGCATCTTACGCTACACCAAGATCAAGCAGATGAAGGAAGATGTAGTTTATCAAAGCATTGAGGACATTTCCTGCTGCTCCTGTGATGACCTGAGGCCAAATAATACCCTAAACAAACATACAACGAAAAACAGAACATAAGGATCACAGCAATATACAGTACTCAAACAGCAGAGCATAGCACTAACAACACCAAAGTCATAAGTTTGATTACCAAGGAAGACATAAACTCATTCAAAGTATTACTTAATACTTAAATGCAATGCAGTGTAAGTCACTTTGAATAAAAGCATTGTCAAATACATAAATGTAAAAACTTCAACAAAATGGAGGATATCTGATTTTGAAGATACAAGCCCTGCAGCTGATACATAAAGGCAGCCTGTAGGTTAATAAACAAATAAATAAATGTTGTTGGAAACAGGCAGGACAACTGAACTAAGCAAGCAAGCAAGTAAATGAATAAATAAATAAGTTTGTCATTATTTACTAATTCTCATGCCATTCTAAAACTTTTTCTTTCAGGTAATAGGATATTTTTCCTCAAAACAAAAAATACTCTTGCAACTGTGAAGCTCCAAAAAAGGTTTAAAAGAACCACAAAACTACCACAAAAGCTGTTAATGTGACCCGTGTTAAATATTCTTGTAAAGTCTTATAAAGTGAAAATCAAGCTTTGTGTGAGGAACAGAGTGAAATTTAAAGAGTTGAAAATCATATAGGTTTGGAGCAGCATGAGCTTAGACGATTACTTTACATTTACAGTTTTATGGTGAACTGTTCCTTTAAAGTTTGTGAACGTTTAGTGTTAATTGCAGTGTAAATGATAGTGTGCAAAAAAGTTTAATGTGTCACTTACAGGCAGAGCAGGCATGAATATTTTGAGTTGTGGCACTATTGAGAGAAAAAATAATAATCACACAGAGTTAAAGAATCTTGTTAAAACCAGTTTATTTCATAATACTTTTATCATTTACTACCAACGTTTTGCTTGACAAGAACATTAATGCATAACATCCAGTAAATGTTGAACCTGTCAGACCTGGCCACACTGGGACTCTGTCGGACAGCCAGCAGGATGGACTCTGTGTTGATGAGCAGCGCCCAGCAGGGTAAACAGGCCAACAAGAGGATGAGAATCCCTCTCTGCAGTATCACACCCACCCGCTTCAGATTATTACTGTCAAACGTCTGGAGGACACAATTAAATTCAGATGAACTCCTGAGTACATTAATGATACTCACATTACTGAACATTCACTATCAGACCTGAGAGATGAGTGTATCGCATGCAGACGCCAATCCAGAGCCGATGGAGATGCCGGTCACATTAATAAATAATGTTTTAATAAATGCCACTATAATGAAGTTATTTTGTGAACTCACAGCAATAGCCAGAGCCACACTGGCCAGTTCCGTTTTCCCCAAGTGTCCACAGAACACAGTGCTGATGAAGCTGATCAGAAAGATCATCAGCTGAGATATAAACTGCACAAAGAGGAGAACATATACTGTATAGCAGCTACAGTGCATTTTCACTAATTGTCAGTTAAAATTCATTATAAGGCCTTAATCTGACTCTACACTGGATCTTAAGTGACATATATGAACATTGCTGTCAGCTAAACTAAACATGGCACATTACATTTATTTGAAAACATATTGAAGAGTTAAACAATTAATAGATAAACTAAATTAATTATTATACTTAAAATAATTATTTCAATAACTCAATACTAATTCAATGCTGATATGTATGTATATACACACACACACACACACACACACATCAGCATTGAATTGAGTTATTGAAATCATTTTATATATATCATTTTATATATAATGTATAAACGTTTCGGCTGATCAAAGTTCTTCTTAAAAGGTGCAGTGTGAATAAAATACAAAATTATTCATTTACTTTTGACACCGTCAATATTCACACAACCACTGGTCCAGCCAGTTTTAGCAGCTCTATAATTTCTTCTTTATAATTTACTGGTAACTTCTTAGTTTTCTTCATTCAACATTCATCACAAACAATCTGTGAATTTGACTGAGCATCATGACTTATCTCCTGTTTTGGGTATACATTTATCTGGGTTTCTGCGTTAATACTGTCCATTTCCATTTTTGGATCCAGTCCCCTGTGACAACAAAGCACTAACTTTTACTTGGTTAACCATAAAACAAATACATCTGCATATATATTCAAATAAAATATATACCTTAAAGGTCTGCTACAGGGAGTCTTTTCAAAAGAAACACTTTGAAAACTGTCGATCAGAAGTTTCTTCCTGTTGTAGTACACAAGGTTAGTATATAAACAGCAGTCAGTGCAGGTTTCATTAAAGGGACACCAACATCATCCTGAAAAACCCCAAATAACATCCATCTAACACTGAAAGTTCCCTCTGTGCTCAGACCAGGTCATCGTGTGATGCTGATAGCTGTGTGAGCTGGTCGTTACATTTGCATTATGAAAACCTTGTGTGATAAGATAAATTTGACTGCAGGACTTTTTTCTAGGATGCCTTTCTCTAGAAATGCATCTAGAGATTAAACACTTACACATAAGAAATGAAGGAAAGTTATATTGGTAGTAGTTTATTATTGTATAAAAAATACTTTTTAAGTAGTTTAATCATTTATACTTTTTTTATTATTTTAAGTTTTATACATGTGGATGAAAATTTGAACGTTATGATCAAATAAATAAAACAAAAGAAGTACTTTCTAGAGTTCATGTCAAGAAATACAGAAGATGCCGAAAGTGGGTCAGGTCAGAATATAGTTATATTATTCTTCCAAAACGGCAAGACAGTACTATCATTGAGTACAGGTCCCTGAATAAAAATATATTCAGCATGATTTCTGTGCTTTATCTCAGCAACCACTGGAGGGCTTACTTTCACCTCTTTCAAGTTTGTAAAAGGCCTTTTGTGTTGGTTACACTCAAGAATGTGAGCAGCTTGTGGAAATTTAACATAATCCTGCACAGACCTTTGAATATTTCTGATGTTCATATGGACAGAGTCTAAAACGATCAGGAGTTCAGGGTACAGAGGGTATGTCAGATCATATTAAAGGAATAGTTTACCCAAAAATAAAAATTTGCTGAAAATGTACTCACCCTCAGGCCATCCAAGATGTTGAGGAATTTGTTTCTTCACTGGAAGATATTTGGAGAAATGTAGCATTACATCATTTGCTAACCAATGGATCCTCTGCAGGTAATGGGTGGCATCAAAATGAGAGTTCAAACAACTGATAAAAACATCACAATCCAAAATCCACATAACTTGACTCCATCATTCAATACCTTGTGAAGAGAAAAGCTCCATGTTTGTAATAAATCCACCATTAATATTTGCTTTTATCAGCTGTTTGGACTCTTGATTCTGTTGGCACTTATTCACCGCAGAGGATCCATTAATGAGCAAGTGATGTAATGCTACATTTATCCAAATCTGCTCTGAGCAAGAAACAAAATCATCTACATTTTGGATAGTTTGGGTGAACTATTCCTTTAGGGGTTTAAAAGACACCTTTACACACACACATATAAAAAACTTTATATTTGTTCTTGGCAGATGTTTTTCTTACAGAAAAAAAAAAAACAGAGTAGTATTATAATGCATGCAGAAACAATAATTTGAACAAACTCCATAAAAATGTTCAGACAGTGGAAACAAATATTTGTTCCCGCCCTATTTTTTTTATTTTTTTTTAGATAGTCATGCAATAGAATTATTGCCATTAAACATTTCTTAATTTTTTTTATTTGGGTTTCTGTTTTTGTCCTATATGCACACACAAACATAATACAATTATCTTATATATAAGGTAAAGCATATAACAGGTGGAGCTGGTAACAAAGAAACAAAGTTTGATGTAGAATTTAAATACATTTCAGTTCATAAATGTGATTTCTTTTACAATGCAAAAGCAACTGTAAGACATCAAACTAATCACTCTCCTCTTACCTTTTTTGAAGCTCTTTTACCTTTATCTCCAGTTGTTCATAAACACACACACAACATTATGGGCCTACAGAAAGCAGTCTAAAAGTCCAAGTCCTATTTAAATTTGGAAAAATCCCATTTGAAAATGACTATTTACAAAAAAGATTTTTGTGAAAGAGTAATTCCCAGCAGGAGCATGTTGACTGCCTCATTTGGATGTGGTGTTGCCATGGGATGGAGCCTGTGGCTGGTGTTGCTGCTGTTGCTCCGCGAGTGCTTGCTGCAAGCGTGTCCGCTTCCGTGAGTAATGCTGCCAGTGCAGGATCTGCTGTTCGTCTATGAACTTGGTACACTGTGCATTCACCAGCTCCTTTCTGAAATGCTCATACTGCAATAGCTCTAACATGTGCAGACAATGAGGATATCTAAGGAAATAAAAGATTTAGACTGCATGAGTGTAATATGACAATCACTGTGAGAGGAAAAAAGGTTTACTGAGGAATGTCTGTCAGCTGAGGTCTACCATATAAGAATATATAATACATTTATGATAATTCTTTATTAATTTTCACACGACATGAGTCTACAAAATAAAATGTAACTAAGATTTAAAAAAAAAAGTACAACATGAACTTACTTGAGGAATTTAGCATATTCTGGTTCTTTCCAGTAAAGCAGATACTTTAAGTAATTGACAAAAGGCTTCTCTCTCAGGTAACCTCTTTGAGCCAAAACTGCAGGATGAAAAACAAGATATTTGACACAGGAACAGTTTCTTCCCTCAGGCCATCCATCTCATGAACACTTGACAATAACTGTGGAACACACACTATTTATTCACTCATACACTTATTTATCTAACACACATATTCAGTCTACATTTCAATTTGCACATAATATACCTGTACATACAACTGTCTATTGTTCTATACCTGTACATACAATTGTCGATTTGTATATTTTTATTCCTTATTTACTTGTTCTATTTTTAATTTTTAATTTATTTTTAATTTTTTATTATCTGTGTTTTTT